TTTCGCACAAAAAACACATTGTAGTCATCCAACTTGGCCAAACTCACAATTTTCCTAGACATAATAAAAAAAGTTTATGTGCTATGTACAAACCTAGGTCAATCGCTACTTACTTCCAAGGCGCAACGCTAGCGGTTGGCATGTTCGTGAAAAGCCCATCATGACCGATGCGAGCTTCAACAAGTTGCCTCTTCTGATCAGTAGACCCTGCAAAAGTACATTTCGGAATTCGGGAAATTATAAGTTATGTACACTTTACAATTGGTGATTTTTCAGCTTACATTTTTTCGCCACTTTTCGTTTCGCATAGGAGTGTAATTCCATCGTCAACTAATGCAGCATTACATTCTTATTACATCTATAGTTGCAGTTTATCCAAACTTAATTGTTTATTGTTATAATTTTATTTTTGTATGATTTTCATGGAATCTGCGATGCACTTTTCTATCAAATGTGGAATTTCGAGAACTTAGCTGTCAGAATCGTTAGCAAAGATAATCCGCATGCATTTTTTTGACATTACGTTTTGGAGGCATATTTGCATAACAGGGTCGCTTCTGCTGGTAAAGAACGTAAAAACGCTCAGCTGGGATTGAGAACGTATATGGATACATATATAACGTCGTTAAATTGCAAAACCGCGTATCGTCGTTCTGCAAAATCGCGCAACTGACATTTGCTGCCAAAAATTCGATTTGCTCACACAAGCTCTTGGCTCAATCCTTATCCATTCGTCCTGAAATATACTAGCCATACTCTAGAAAATAATTAATGCAACCTCACTTACGCGGCTTTGCATTATCTTGATACGCGCTTTTGTACTTTAAATGACGATATGTTTGTACATACGGTCTCTGTTCATTTGTTTACTGAGATTAGCAGCGCCCCTGGTTTGTGTACGAGGTGCGATAGGAAGACACGCAGTCAGAAAACAGTTGTTGGCAGTNTCCAAGGCGCAACGCTAGCGGTTGGCATGTTCGTGAAAAGCCCATCATGACCGATGCGAGCTTCAACAAGTTGCCTCTTCTGATCAGTAGACCCTGCAAAAGTACATTTCGGAATTCGGGAAATTATAAATTATGTACACTTTACAATTGGTGATTTTTCAGCTCACATTTTTTCGCCACTTTTCGTTTCGCATAGGAGTGTAATTCCATCGTCAACTAATGCAGCATTACATTCTTATTACATCTATAGTTGCAGTTTATCCAAACTTAATTGTTTATTGTTATAATTTTATTTTTGTATGATTTTCATGGAATCTGCGATGCACTTTTCTATCAAATGTGGAATTTCGAGAACTTAGCTGTCAGAATCGTTAGCAAAGATAATCCGCATGCATTTTTTTGACATTACGTTTTGGAGGCATATTTGCATAACAGGGTCGCTTCTGCTGGTAAAGAACGTAAAAACGCTCAGCTGGGATTGAGAACGTATATGGATACATATATAACGTCGTTAAATTGCAAAACCGCGTATCGTCGTTCTGCAAAATCGCGCAACTGACATTTGCTGCCAAAAATTCGATTTGCTCACACAAGCTCTTGGCTCAATCCTTATCCATTCGTCCTGAAATATACTAGCCATACTCTAGAAAATAATTAATGCAACCTCACTTACGCGGCTTTGCATTATCTTGATACGCGCTTTTGTACTTTAAATGACGATATGTTTGTACATACGGTCTCTGTTCATTTGTTTACTGAGATTNTATACTCTTGGTCGTTGTAATCATGTCTGTTACACTTAAACTCGACGTCGCCGCGGCGACAATACCCAGAGGTTCCCGTGACAGTCGGGTCTACGTAACCGGAACGGCCCAGATTCATATCTGGCTCACTATCGCTACAGCATCATTCCCCAAAAACCCGTAGAGAAATTAGTATGCTGTTACAACAACGATATCCAGAAGAGTCATCTGTTATTCCAGCTCCGACTTTCCGCCTTTTACACGTACATATGTGCTCTGCGGTAACTGCATCCCTTTAGCCATCGAATCATCATGTGTGGATTTTTGTCCTCGTCGATAAGCCCAAAATGGTGCTTTCCACTAAAGCAAGATGTTTTAAACTTTTTCTTTTTATGCAACTATTTCCTGCCAAGAAATATTTTTTTTAACACACTTCATTTATTTTTTAAAATTATACTTCGTGTATAAATTCTACGTAGTATGTTTGTACCAGACAACAGCATGAGTTTACTCACTTCCATCTAAACAGTATGAACTCATTGCTGTGAACTCTATAAGGTTAGTGAGAAACACCGTACAAACAGTGAGATTTATAGTTAGTTTTGAAATCAATGTTTAGCTGCAGTGTACTCATTTGATTTCAAATATGGCATCGATGGCCAAATCAAGTCAAGCGAGTGAAAAATGCTGTGATGAAAAGCAAGTCGAGCAATCGAATGACACTCATTGACTTCAAACAATTAGTAGAAAATACGACAATTTTGAAAAAAATGGATATTGATGAAGTATTTTTATACCCGAGCGCACTTGTGCACAAGGGTATTATAACTTTGTTCACATAACGGTTGTTTGTAACAGGCAAAACGAATCGAGATAGATATAGACAAATGTATACATAAATGATCAGAATGAAAAGAGAAATCGATTAAGCGGTGACTGTCTGTCCGTCCGTCCGTCTGTGCACACGATAACTCGAGTAAAAATTGAGATATCTTAACGAAACTTGGTACGTGCACTTCTTTCTGCCGTAGGACGGTAGGACGTAGGATGGTATTGAAAATGGGCAAAATCGGACAATAACCACGCCTACCTCCCATATAACGGTAATTTTCAGAAATACGAAAACTGCGATATTTTAGTAACTACTGAAGAATATTCACTCAAAATTGATATTTACAATAAGTTTTAGACGAGAAATAAGAATATTATAAATGTTTGGAAAATGGGCGTAACCACGCCCACTTATGGTTCCAAACTTGGCACAATTGGTGGCCTTGACATAACCTACGAAATGGCCGAAAATTTTTAAAATCGGACAATAACCACGCCCGGTAATTTAGAGAAATACGAAATCTTCGATAAATCGGTAAATATTGAAGCTAGTGTATTCAAAATTGATGCTTGCAACAATTCTTTACCAAGAAATACGTTTATGATAAAATTTTGGAAAATGGGCGTGGCACCGCCCACTTATGATCATATATATATATCTCGGTAACCGTTCTACCAATTTGTACCAAACTCGGTGTGGTTATTGTACTTGCCACATAGAAGCAAAAGAAAGAAAGAAAGAAGAAAATTATTGAAATCGAACTAAAATTACGGCCGCTTTTCATATAACGGTAAATTTCAGAAATGCTTGAAATTTCAATATTTNTATTTAATACTTGCGCCGGGTATTTAATGTTCGGCTCCGCCCGAACTTAGACTTTCTTACTTGTTTTAAATATATTAGTTTTACTAAATTATTTAGTTATGCACCTGACGTACATTTATATAACTAGTCTACAAAAGAAATGCAATGTTACCTCAGAAGACATCGGCTTTATAAGGGATTTGAAAAATAAGTTGCTTTATTATTTAAAAACAGTTGCTGTTGAAAACTAACAGATTTGCACAAAATTGTGCTTTTTTATACCCGCCAGCAAAAGAGCTCAAGAACTTTACCGAATCTGAGCAAAGGTACACAAAAGTGAAATGTTTACAAATTATGAGAACGTTAACTGAGAATTCTGACAGTACAACGGAACCACAAATTGCGGATACACCTTTGTTACCTTCAGACAACTTTGAGCTGTTTTCAGGTCTTCTTAAACAACCTACCTTTGTTAGCAGAACTGATAAAGCTATTGCAGAGCTGCGGCGATATGAAAATATTGAGGTATATTTTCATACGGACTTCGATATAATTAATTGGTGGGAGGTACACAAATGCGAAATGCCGCTGCTGCATAAACGCAGTCGTAGAGTAATAGCCACTCCTTCAACTAGCGCATCGTCAGAAAGAGTTTTTTCTTCTGCTGGAAATGTTATTTCTGGCAAAAGATGCCACCTTTTGTCAAAGAAACTTCTTCAAATTTTCATCCAAATATTGCGCTTTTTATTTACACACTTTAGAAAAAAGTTCAGTACGCAGTTTTTTAGCCCACTCAATTTTAGTATAACAAAGTGCAAGTTTGAGGTAGCTAGGACTTACCATAGATTTATAGGAATTTAATCATTAACCGTTCCGGTGATTACGATTAAGTAATTTTAATCGTCAATCGCTATTAACATTTTAATCGTTAATTTTTAATCCTTAGGGAGGGAAAAAACTTCTAATAGCCATTAGCTTCAAGTATTTCGCAAAATTTGAATGCAACATTTTGCCTGTTTAAAGCAAAGTAAAACTCCATACGAATCAGCGGGATTCGATCTTTACTCAAATATTTCGTACTATTTTGGCCTTATCAGAACTTCGGTGCTTTTATGCACTTAGAAAATTTTGCTTTCATTAAATAAAAAGTGGACTTAGCAACTTTTCACTCTAAGCTAGCGATATACGACAATACGAGCTAATTAAAACCTCCCGCTAAATTAATTTGCAGTGTTTTACAGTAGTTTAGCTTAATTTATTGAACCAATTTGGGATAATTTGTTTTCTCATAGAGCTTATCACAAAAAAAAAAACACTTATTTACTGATTTATTTTGGAACGAATTTCCGGCATCCCTAGTCACGGAACGAAATTCGTTTCAAAATAAATCATGTTACCACCCTGTCGGAAAAATCAACCAACACCAACACACTTATTTACTATTTGTTTTTGCTAAAAAAGAATTAGCTGTTAATTTTGTATATAAAAATGTTCAGTTAAATTATTATTTTTTTTAAATTTAGAAACTTAAGTGTATATTTATGAATTAAGCATTAGTTTTGGTTATAGTTTTAATTTTTGTTTTTGTTTTTTCTTGTGGTTTTTACAAAATTGGATTGGTGCCTTTAATTTTCTTGGTTTGACGCTAAAATTTGACGAATTGATGAACTACAGCACCACCGACAATAATGCATGCCACAATGATCATATCAATACCAAAGAGGAGGAAGTCTATCAAGACTTGTGTGCCTTACAAAGGAACAGTAGAAGTCAGGTATACATTTTACGTTGCTTTTACGTTTACTTGATTATTATTTAGTTTTCAAAATTCATAATTCATACATATAAATACATACATTCTATTTTTTTATAACTTTTACTATGTTGCATGATTTTTGTGCATTGCCTGCATGAATTTGTAGAAAAATGTAAGAAAAACTCTGAATTTCCTAATATACTTTTCTAAATCGCACTTATGTAGATCTCTTCGGCGACCAGTTTTGAGCAACGCGACTATGTCATACGTGAACTGATCGATACCGAATCGAATTATTTGGATGTGCTTAATGCGTTAAAGACGAAATTTATGGCGCCACTTGAACGTTACCTGAATCCAGAGGAAATCAAACAAATATTTCCGCGCATACGCGTTAGTTACAATATTTTATTTTCCTATATTTTTAATTTTTTTAATTTTTGGAATTACAGGAACTCGCTGATATACACACAAGGTTCCTCGAAAAACTACGTGAATCTCTTTTGCCAAATACCAAACTGAAAATGAGTCAGGTGTTTTTGGAATTTCGCGAACCATTCCTGCTCTATGGAGATTACTGTTCGTGTCTGTTGGGTGCCATAGATGTGCTTGCTGATGTATGCAAGAAGAACCAGATTATCGAACAGCTTGTACAGGTCAGTTTTGTGTTTCAGTAAAAGTTAATGGTAATGTTTCCTTAAACTGAAAAAGGCCATAAAAACTGTCAATAAACTTTAAAAATTTGTATAAATTTCTTTGAATTGAATATTTTTATTTTCTAGCAATGCGAACGAGAATATAATGTGGGCAAATTGCAACTGCGTGATATTTTATCCGTACCTATGCAGCGAATTCTAAAATACCATTTACTGTTAGATAAGCTAGTCAAAGAAACCTCACCGGTACGTAAATTTAACAGTTTAAAAGTTATTACTTTTACTGTAGGAGCAGCTTACCAACTTTATAATCTCATGTTTATAGGTGCACGAGGATTATCGGGCGTTGGAGCGTGCCAAAGAAGCAATGATCGATGTGTCACAATATATTAACGAAGTAAAACGTGATTCGGACCACTTAGTAATTATACAGAAAGTTAAAGTAAGTGCGTATGCGATAATCGTGAAGATCACATTTCTATTTGTTTAAATTCCCGCGCTACAGGACAGCATAATCGACCTGCATCTGCTACCAAATGGCAGTAATGATCTGCTACAATATGGTCGCCTGCTACTGGATGGTGAATTACATATAAAAGCGCATGAAGATCAGAAGACGAAGTTACGTTACGCATTCGTTTTCGATAAAATATTGATTTTAGTGAAGCCGCTTCATACTAAAATGGGCGATATGCAGTATACATACCGTGACTCGCACTACCTCTCCGATTATCGGGTGGAACAAAGTCATACGCGGCGAACCTTAGGGCGGGATACACGCTTCAAGTGCCAATTGCTGTTGGCGCGTAAGTCTGCCAAAACCGCTTTCACGCTTTATTTGAAATCGGAACCCGAGCGGGATAAGTGGCGCAAAGCGCTCACTGAAGCAATGTAAGTTGGGTGTATATTTATATATGTTTTAGGTAAATTTCTTAGTTTTGTTTTATTTTATGTTTTTTTTTTGGTGCTAAAGGGAAAACTTAGACCCACCTGGTTGTCGCAATACTGATCATAAAATGGAAATTTATACATTTGATGCACCTACAACATGCAGGCATTGTTCGAAATTTTTAAAAGGGCGCATACATCAGGGTTACCGCTGCAAGGTTTGCGAAATTGCCGTGCATAAAGGTTGCATATCGTCGACGGGTCGTTGCAAACAAAATCCGCTTAGTATNGCCTACAACATGCAGGCATTGTTCGAAATTTTTAAAAGGGCGCATACATCAGGGTTACCGCTGCAAGGTTTGCGAAATTGCCGTGCACAAAGGTTGCATATCGTCGACGGGTCGTTGCAAACAAAATCCGCTTAGTATTCCGCCACCAGTCTGCGATCGGCAACTTTCAGAGTTTAATTGGTAAGCAATTGTTAAAAATGCATTCATTCATTTAAGCACTGGAGGTGTGAAGTGGCTTATGCCACTATCAAAATAAACGGCTCACATATGTGCATATGTATGNTTCCGCCACCAGTCTGCGATCGGCAACTTTCAGAGTTTAATTGGTAAGCAATTGTTAAAAATGCAGTCATTCATTTACGCACTAGAGGTGTGAAGTGGCTTATGCCACTATCAAAATAAACGGCTCACATATGTGCATATGTATGTATGTATATTCAATATATTTTGACTCTTTTTCAGGTTTGTGGGCACAATGGATCGTGATACGGCTGCTTCCCGTCTTGAAAATCGTCGTGTAGGTACTTATTTGCTGCGCGTGCGCCCTCAAGGTGCATCCAATCCACACGAGACTATGTATGCGCTGAGTTTGAAGTGAGTGTTGCTAAATTACAAAAATTTCGATTCATTTTCAACATATTTCCAATTCTAACCTTTCAGAACCGATGATCATGTTATTAAACATATGAAAATCAATCAAGAGCCCGATGGCGATACAGTACTCTACTGCCTTTCATCGAGACGTCATTTTAAAACTATTGTCGAACTAGTTTCGTACTATGAACGCAACGATTTGGGCGAAAATTTTGCAGGGTGAGTGGATCAACATTTTATACCACACATAATGAAAAAAGTCTGGATCCATATCGTATACATACTACCTTCTCTATCTCGTTTTAGTCTTAATCAATCGCTGCAGTGGCCCTTCCGCGAAGTAATAGCTACTGCCATTTATGATTTTGAGCCCAAAGGCAGCAATCAATTGCAGCTTAAGACTGGCTGTCAAGTGCTGGTCATTGGCAAAGATGGTGATAGTAAAGGTTGGTGGCGTGGAAAAATTGGTGATACGGTAAGTGTTTACACTAATTTTTATCTTAATACAATAGAGTGGGAAAAATTTGTTGAATATTTTATATGCAATTTTTTAATTGCACAATAGAAAATGGTCAGACTTACTGATATGTACATGTAGATGTACAAACAAATTAACGTTAGCTTATTCAGGAATTTGTAAATGTTTTGGTATACATTTTGTTGCAATAATAGTAAGAGTAAGGGTATAAGTAACTTAACCTTACTTCTTAGGCGATGATTTGAAGTGTTTATTTTTCATAAATTTTTATTATCTTAATTTTGTAAGTATATTGGTTTAATTAGCCTGTACATATGAGCTAAAAGCCCTTCCAAAAGGCCTTGTTGAGAGTCAAAAGGCCTTCCACTCTGCATTCCTTTCTCTTTTCTTTTGTGTAAGGATTGACAAAAATTGAAGGCCTCCTCATAATGCTTCTTCCTTAATTCATAAAACTCATACTTTTTAAGGTATTTATTCAAGTTTCATATTAGACATGTTTTTTTTTATATATAGTATGTTTTTTAAGCAAGGTTCTGAAAATAACTTAGAATTTAAGGGTTTGAGAAAATCTTGATAAAGCTTGTAAAAAAGGAATGAAGGCAATAATGACACCACCAAATGTTTTCTTAAATATGTACAGTTCTTATAGGAAATGAATCTAAACGTGCAAAGTAAGCCAAGAGTTTAGTTGTTCAATAGGAGGAATTCAGTGCTTGCTAATTAGCAGGAAGTACCATCTACATTCGCTCTGTGAACGAGACATGAAGTCAGTCCATTTTGCAGAAGTAGAATAGTATAAGAAAAAATATTACTGCAATTTTTTCTCAAAGATCAATCATCTCAGGTTTTACTGCGTTGTTCTCTACGCAGATGTAATGTAAACATACGTTTTGATAATGCTTTTTAGTTCTCAGCTAATATGAATGCACTACGCTCAGTTTATGCCAATCTAAAGACCAGCGTAAGCATGCCTTACCGTTTCTATTTCTAGGGCACCTCAATTATAAGCTTATTTCCAGCAGCATCCCTCTGTTGCGTTCTATTGCGTTTTTCGCCACATTCATTCTTCTTTCCTCTATCGGTTCATACGCAGATAACTGCTCTAATAAAAGCTACTGTAGCCGAAATTGAAAAGCTGTGCGAACTGGTAAACACCTACCGCTTTTAACTATACGTAATCTAAAATTTTTTTGCCAATTGTTACGGCCAATTTTTTCCTACATTTCAAACGTGGACCGAATAGTCGCTGAAATTTATGATATAAAGTGTCCTAGCTGCAATTTTAAAAAGCCTCCGGAAAACAAACGGGCGTTTTATTTTCCCTAAAGTAAGTATAAATATTTGATCATAATTTTATTTATGTGGTGATACGTAGAAATAGAAACTGCACTATTCTCCGTGAAAATAAAAAAAAAAAGCGAAAAATCTGGAGTATAACACAATACAACTTTTTAATCTACATACATACATACATTAAAGATCTTTCATAGGAAAGATCAGTACTTAGACTTAAAGCAATTTACCATTGAAAGCAAATCAATTAAATATAAAACTTATACCCTTTATCGTTAAAATTCGTATCAAAAGGTTTTTTGAAACGACATTACGAAATTTGAGCGTATTTTAAGGAATTTGGCTGACGAGAGCGTGAATTTGCCAGAAACCCCAAAAAACAGAAGCAATAGCATATACTTAGCCTCAAACCTGTTTTGTGTCGAAATCACAGGTTTTCATAGAACAGTCGACGTACTTTGAGTACCGATAAGTGAAAAATTTTTGGTGCCAGAGAAGGTTTAAGGAACTTAATTTTCATCTGTAACGTACTAAGCGGAAATTTATAAAAAAATTTGTCGCAATCATTTAAGGTATAATAAGCAATTTATTATTTATAAATAAAAAAAAGAGTGATGCCCTTTATAGTTTGACTTATTTAGGCAACAAAACATTAACTTAAGCACTAGCAAAGGAAAACTCCAATGACAAAATAAGCTACTACTAATGTCTTCGAAACTCGTCACTCCCCATATTACTTTACACAATTTAGCTTAACTCTTATAAATGCCTTTTAGGTCGGCTACTTTCCCAAAGAGTACGTTCATGAGCATCCGCCGATTAGCGATGAACTTTGATATTACAATTATGTAATTTATGTTGCGAACTCACTGGACCAACATTCAATTGCATCGGATATTTCAAGTTTAGTGGATGATGATCTGGAGAGTAATGCCAGAGCTAGAGCGCTAGCGCCAACAGCTGAGCAAGAGTCGCTCTTCTCTGGCGAAGATTCTTAAGTGAATAAGAAAGAGGAGGGAAAAATACGAATTTGCGGCTGTAAATGGAGCGCCTCAAATAAAAAACGCAAATACAAATGAATCAATTGAAATTGCGTGTGTAACAAACCCACTAAGAATAGCATAATAACCTTAATAATTGTGCCAATAGCTTTTTTATACAATTTTAATTGCTTATTTTATATGTATTTATGTACGTAATATTGTATATTGTATTTATGTATGTATTTAGATATGTTTTAACAAATATTTGTTAAACGTTTTATCAATTGCATTATTATGTAGTTTTAGGATGGTACCTAAGCATGCTTTTAATTTAGATTTAAGTGTCAAATGTGTGTGACTATATGTTCAACTAGTTTATATGACTTAGGTTTTTATATAATTTTAACTAGTTTTATAAAAAATATACATATGGACATATGTAAATGTATTTAAAATATGTATGCAAAAAAGTTACAAGCGAATGTTTAGAAGTATAACAAATTATGCATGTCAAAGGGCCAGTTATTACTACATATAAGCCGTATGCAACAAGAAAATAAGCTTTAAAATGTTACATAACTTTATATATATGTATGTATATGTAGGCAACGATTTATTAAATATGTAGTTATAAATATATACTACATATAACTTACAGTGTGCGCAGTGTAAATGCGCACTAAGAAAATTCGAAACTTATGTGGAATATATACAAAATAGTACATGGATAATATTCCCAAAGGTATTAATGCAAAGCAACCGCAACATTTATTTTTTAACCAATATTGGTATGGCAATTTCCAATTATGCGCAACTAGGGCAGGTTTCCCCTGTTCAAAAATGCATCAATGCAAATTGATGGAAATTTCCAACTTGTGCAACCACGGTTAAATCCCGAATAGGAACTTAGTTGCGCTATTGGAAATCCATCTTCATACACTGTAGTTTGATGCCTTATACGTTTAGGAATACGTCCGTAAACATTTCAAAAAGCTTTTAATATTGAAATTGTTATGTAAAAGTGCACAACATATAATACACTATTTTAATGGCTGTGCACTACCCTATATAACCGAAGATCTATTTACAAACAAAATAATTACATAAGCATATACGCTATGTATAAAATATATACATACTTATTCAGTGGAAAAGCACATACATACATAAATATTCATTTTTTAAGGCCAATATGCAGCTCTCAAGAAAACGGTCAAAAAAAAATTGTCATTATTTCGTGTGTGTGTCCAAGGAATTTTGACATTTTTTGATACTTCACAGCCTGTTGCCTCACTCTTTCCTCAAGAAATAATGGAACGGGCATATATTTCTGTTGCAAACATGGTTTCCCATGTGCTCTTTACTTGTGCTTACTTTACAAAACCGTAGTAGAAAGCGTAGCAAATTACTTAAGAACTGCATACTGTCTTAAAGAAATTTGCCACAAGAAAATTTCTTAGCCATTTCTTGTACGTCATTTTATATGGAGTTTTTGCTTTTCTTGAGAACTGCATACTGGCCTTTAACAGACATAGAGGACAACAAATACATACTAAATATTTGATAAACGAATATTTTTAAAATACAAACTAAATGCATATAACCGATTCAAATCTGAAAGAGCAAACAGTGTAGTGTATAGAAAACATATTGAAGTTTAATGAATTTTGAATCAAAACATATATCTAAGTGTATTAATGCAAAATTGAGCCTGACCTAAGAGTGCAACTCGCAAAATTTAGACAGCAGGGAAATATTTAAATCACATTTGAAACATACATTTACATATACATACAAATTATCAAACATATACAAATTTATAATATACATATTTTAAAACCAATAACAGTGGCACTTGATATGTATGTATAAGTGCAATATAAATATGTTCTACTTAAACCGAGTCTATGATACAAAAATTTAATGACCCGTAGTTATAGACTAATGTCGAATTTCCACCAGGCATTGAAATTGCACAAAATGTATGCCAATTGAAATATGCTATGTGGAAACAGACATAACGACTATTTATATGAACGTAATGACCAGGTTATTTTTTAATGCTCAACACTGTAATTACAAATTTTGTTTTTTAATGCCTAGTGGAAATTCGGCATAAGTAAGAATCAAAATTATCCAAAATCGATTAGACCGGTACGCTTAGATTTTGAAGAGCTGCCTTGTGTCATAAGTATGACCAGTTAGTAATAGATTTTTTTTTTTTTTGCAGGAGACCCTATAGTCTCTAAAAGTCAGGTTGCTCCCCCAGGTATGTTGTATTCAAAGTATGGCGACTGCAACTCCAGATTAATTCCAACGTTGCTCCACAAATACACCTTGGTAATACCGTATTGGCCAATACTGCATGTACAAGCTTCTGCTATGCTTGACTTGAGTGTTGTGTCGACAAAATTTCTACAAGCTTGTGCTCTGCTTTCTTCTCGACACTTACACTAGGCGACACATGAAAGTGTACACGTTGTTCTAATATAATATTCACAACTATTTTTGTGAACAATTTCTTGCCTTAATTATTTATGAAAATATAGCTCATTCCATAATATAAACCATATAAATCAAAGTTTCACACTTTATATAAAGTTCACATAAGGTCAAAAGATTTTCAACAAATTGTTTTTAATTTTTTATTCAGATTTTCTAGAGTATGCAGTTTTTGGCTCTGGTTTGCCTGCGTACGAACTGCATGCGTAATCGATGAAGTATTTCCAATCATTTTAATGTCGTAGAAGTGTTCGTTGAAGTTCCGCAAAAAAAAAATCAAATCTAAAGAAACTGGTTTACTGGTTTTTTTTTTCATCCAGCATTTTAAGAATTTCATTACCAAAAACTGCATCTTTTTAGATTGTAGGCCGCTTACAAATATTAAGCATTTTAGGTTATCACTGCTGCATTTATCTAGCAGAAATTTTTCACACTGTCGATTAACTCTTGCTATGTAGAATGTGTAGTCTTCCAAACCATTTTTTACTGTTTGAAAGCATTTATAACGAGTGCCGAAGAGCGATTGTTTTTCTCCAAACATGGATGTTAGCTTACTTACTGTGGCGTTGAAATCAATTTCGTTTGGTTTGGCCGGCAATATTATATGTGCATACTGCTGGTAAACTGCGGAACTGAGCTTACGTAGCAAAAGCCTAGTTTTATCTGAGTTGTTTAGCATCTTCTTCGAATATGTGTTGATACCTTGTATACCAAGTTTCGAACGTATTGCCTTCTTCAGGTGCATGCACAAATTTTTTAATTTGTTTTGATAGAATGTCCATCAGCTGCTCTCGGTTGAAACCATTGTGTGAGGGGGCTGCTGCAATAACTGGGCGATTCATGTTAAATTGAGAAACTATGTTCTGAAGAAGCTCTTATGTAGCTTTTTGCAGGGACCGAACATAACAGTTATTGATGAAAACTGTCACGGAAAAATTCACTATGAAGGAAATGTTCTAGAACTAAGTGATACATACCAATCGATTTCTTTTTTCAGCGAGACTCAAATTTGAAAATAAATTTTTATTTGCAATTTTTATGCAAAATTAAAAAAAATAACATTCCTTTTGATTTTTTTTTTATTATAAATCCAAAATAACAACTATTTTCGATTATTATATTATATGTCTTAGATAATAGTTATTGAAGGCTTTTATTTATAAAAGTCATCAATAAAAATCAGTCAGTGACTTTTACTTTTAAAAGTCATCAATATAAATCAGTCACCGACTTTTATTTTTTAAATCATTGGTGTAAAAGTCATTAACATTTTTCGCAGCTAAAAAGGTGTTGGGAAACAAAAGTTTACAACAACTTATTGAAATGACTTTTATAAGTGAGATTTAAAAAATAAAAGTCAGTGACTGATTTTTATTTATGACTTTTAGGAATAAAAGTTTTCGATAACTGTTATCTAAGTCATATAATTTAAAAATTAAAAATAACTGTCATTTGCCGATTATTTATATAAAAATCAAAAATAATTGTTATTTTCGATTTATAAAATAAAAGTCCGAAATAACGGCTATTTAAAGAGTAATTAAATAAAAGTCAAAAATAATAGTTAAAGAGCGACTTTTTTAATAAAAGTTGTAACTGTTACTGTCTCTAGCTTTTTGCGTTTCACTTTATTGCACCAGCAGACGGGTTAAGACTTGTATTCGCCATGATATATGTACTTGTCTGATCTTTTCACTCTCGGCGCCAATTTATGTTGTGACCGTATCACGCATTTATTTATTTAGTTCAGATAATATAAATTAGGTACAATAAAAAAGGGACTTAAACTACGTTAAACAATTATTAATAAAAAGCGTTGCAAGTTCACGAGCGTGTGCTGCGGCTGCTTTTCAACTTTCTACTCGACGTTAGTTCGAACAGCTGTCAAAATAATGCAACGAGTGTTGCTACTCGATTGGTTTTAGATATTTAAATATTTGGCGGCCTATGAGCAATGGCAAACACACTGAACGATTTTTGTATATTGATTTATATATCGCTTAATATGTTAATTACAAACGTATTGTTGTTATGATTATTAAAACGCACAATTTACAAAACATGAATGCTGATTTAATACGAACGTTGAGGTTTGGTGATTTTTATAAGTTGTTTGTTAAATGTGTGGCTTGAAGGTATTGATATTAAAGCTGACGAATGTGATGAATGTTAAAACTTTACTTTAAGAACTTTGATGAATGTTGGACGAACGTTGGACGAATGTATGTATAAATTATGATGCAGGGGAGTGTTTCCAAATTGGATTTATCGCGCGATTGTCGGCTGCTGTTCAAATTGCTTCTGATTTTTCGGTGCACGCAAATATCTTCCATACGCAGCAAACAAATGACAGCTAGTGATGAGCAGGATAATGGTGCATGAATTGTTAACTACAGGAAAGCTGGATCTTAAATTATTAAAGAAGCGACAGCATGTAGTCATCAGTTTGACCACAACGGCATCTTGGATATTCGGTTTGGAGCGAGAGTAGCTCAGAAATTCTGAGTAACACTGATGTTAGATTTGATTTTTAATCTGCTTTAAGGCTTAAAAAGACTGATTATATCTTAAATGCAAGAGTTGATTAGTTTGAGTAGGACGGTAATGAGTGCTATGGGTCTGAAATTATGGTAGTCATTAAGATTGCAGTTTTTTTGGGGAATGGGGACAATTTTGATGATTCTCCAGTGATCTGGTATTTGGTTGGATAGAAAAATGTCATTGAGAGAGGTTTTTAGGTTAGCAAGGGTAACGTCCGGGAGAGCCTTGAGCATTTTTTAGGTGATCATATCGCGTCCAGCGGCTGAATCCTTTTTTTCCAAAGCTGATTTGATGTCGTCAAAAGAGAGCGAAAGGTTGGAATTGATTTCCACAGATTGGTAAATCTCAAAGCAATTTTGGTTTTTTTAAGTTTTTTCCAGGTGATCGTTCCACCACGCATTTGGTGTTCTGTTTTCATTGGGTATATATCTAGCATTGTTAATTTCTTGTTTGATTTTGTCTTCAAGGTCAGTGATAGACGCCTCACATTCCAAGGTTTTTAAAGAGTTAAAAAGTTTATTTTTAGCAACAAAGGTACTGTTTCAATCGGTAATGTTCATCAGTTCGATGATTACTTTGAATTGGCGGCTGCCCCCTATTCTCGTAGCATCAACTTGTGACTTGCACACAATGCCAGAGTTGGAAAAGCAAAGATCGAGGACCGACCCACCATTTGTAGAAGTTGGATAGTAGGATATGCTGAGCCTAGATGCTTTCCTCTGTGCGAATCCTTGCCGTCGCTCCAGATCGGGGCCCTGGCATTAAAGTCGCCAAGTACAAAAACATTTTCGTGTTGCTCAAGGAATTTAAAATTCTGATGAGTTCTATATTGAAGTCATGAATGCTAATGTTGGGGGGAAAGTATGAGTTGCAAATGGTAATGTTGTTGGTCAGATTCGTGGTTTTTATAACTAAGATATTGAAATATATCAGGTGGCGACAAAATAAATCAAACACGTCCGTTCTTTGTAATGTTCAAAATCGAATGATGTCTTCGATCGCACGAACCTTTCTTTGTTATATGTAACTTAACCATTTCCTTAACTTTATACGTTGTCTCAACTTTGTTATTGTTCTCCACTTTGTTCACACCCTCTTGCTTAACAATTTTTTCAGTTTCATACTTTTCCTCTACTTTGTTTACACTACTTACTGTCTCAATTTGCGCTACTCTGTCCAAAAACTCGGCGTTTCCAATTTTTAACCTTGCATGACTTGCTTCGATAAAATCCCTACCTAACAAAGTTGTGTAACCAATACATCCATTCGGTACCACTAGAAATTCAATTAAAACTTCTTTATTCAGGACTTTCAAAATACATTTCATTTTCCCAATAACACATAAAACTGTTTTGTTTAACCCGTAGTACGTCTCGTTTACTTCTTCTAACTCTACTCCCGGGGGCACCACAACCTGCTTCAATAAACTAACCGGGCTGCCTGAATCAACTAGGCACTCTATAAATATATAAGTGTTTATATGTGCAAATACGTATAACCTAAAATAACTTACAAAATTGTTCTTCTCCTTCTTGTACATCTTGCACTCCATTGCATAGTGGCCCTGCTGTCCACATGCATAACACTTACCGGCATATCTCTTTGGTTTTCTACAATCCTTCGCGTAATGTTCAGAGCAGTTGCAATTATAACACCTTAGCCGCTCTCCGGTGTATTGCTTGGCTACTAATCGTTTCGGCAATGTTATTGAGCGGAACGCCCTTACCACCTCATTCGCCGACGTGAAATTTTGGAGCCTTGCCTGGTTTCGGAGTTGTCTGTCCGGAGCCACATACAGCATGGCATCGTCTACCTTGAAAATTTCACGGTANTAATGTTCAGAGCAGTTGCAATTATAACACCTTAGCCGCTCTCCGGTGTATTGCTTGGCTACTAATCGTTTCGGCAATGTTATTGAGCGGAACGCCCTTACCACCTCATTCGCCGACGTGAAATTTTGGAGCCTTGCCTGGTTTCGGAGTTGTCTGTCCGGAGCCACATACAGCATGGCATCGTCTACCTTGAAAATTTCACGGTAGTGCATCACTTCGCTATGTACTGAATCCAACGCCGCCGTCGTACGTTGGTATGACATCCTTCAGTGTTTCAAATGGAATATTGTCTCCTCGTTTGCTTGTGCTCGCCATTGTGTCGTCCTTTTGTAACGTAGCCTTTTGTAGTGTAAGCAGCTGTATTTCTTTTTGCAGCAGTTGAATCTTAAGGGCTGCTGCTTCGTCGTCATCGTGGACGTGGACTGTTGCTAAATTCTCAGCTGTGCCGCTAACCGAGCTTTCGTTGTCTACCACGTAACTTGTTCGACGACTCCCGAAGGTGTCGCTACGCACACATGCTACACCCCTTTGAATGTAAATGGCATCATTGTCGTCGTTGGTGGCCAATACATTTATTTCGCACCGTTGTACATTGCCGCTCCTTAAAACTCTGCCGTTGTCTTCACCGTTGCCATCTCCGTTGTGCTCACCGTTGCTATCGCCGTTATGCTCACCGTTGTCATCGCCGTTGTCTTCCCCGTTATTTTCGCCGTTGTCTTCACCCTGTTTGTTCTGGTCATCTAGGTTGTCGCAACTTTGTTTGCCCGCCTTGTCCACTTTTGGGCATAATCCTCGAGCTTCGGCTGACAGCTCATTTAATCTTGCAGCTAAAGACGCCTTAGCACCACTCGCATTAATGCCTACAGCAGTACACCAGGCTTTTAACTGCAGTAGGGAATATTTTTCTGCGTTTATATCGCGATTCATTTTACGGAAATTTTTATTTTAACACGTCTTCGAAATTTAATTTTACTTTGTTCGCAATTTATCGGAAAACTATTTATTTAGTTTTTGCGCGCTACTTTGATATTCAAAATAAAATTTTACTTTAATTTGGTTCTAAGACCACTTCTGATGAAATATATCAGGTGGCGACAAAATAAATCAAACACGTCCGTTATTTGTAATGTGCAAAATCGAATGAAGTCTTCGATCCGTCGTTTTTACAAAACGGTTCTTACTCGCTGCAATTTAAGCGATTTCTATTGGCTAGTTAGAAGACAGCCTTAAGGTATAGTTAGAGTTTGAACATTTGTGAACTTAAGGTCTAAATACAACTAAATTAGCAGTTAAATCTTAAGGTCTAATTAGTTACGCATGTGCACACGAACACCTACACACTTATGAGTCCTACACTAGCAAAAATTTGCAGCTCTCCCGTGTTGTTATGCTCTCGATTCAGTGCTCTCTTGCAATTTATTGGGTTATCATACACTTTTCCAGTAAAAATTTTCAGGTTCCAGTACAAATTAGTACTGACTATTGGTTACTATACAAACCTTATGTTAATTACAAACGTATAGTTGTTATGATTATTAAAACGCACAATTTACAAAACATGAATGCTGATTTAATACGAACGTTGATGTTTGGTGATGTGTGGCTTGAAGGTATTGATGTTGAAGCTGACGAATGTGATGAATGTTAAAACTTTACTTTAAGAACTTTGATGAAGGTTGGACGAACGTTGGACGAATGTATGTATAAACTATGATGAAGGTGAGTGTTTCCAAATTGTATTTATCGCGCGATTGTCGGCTGCTGTCCAAATCGCTTCTGATTTTTCGGTGCACACAAATATCTTCCATACGTAGCAAACAAATGACAGCTAGTGATGTGCAGGATAATGGTGCATGAATTGTTAACTACAGGAAAGCTGGATCTTAAATTATTAAAGAAGTTTGACCACAACGGTATCTTGGATTATTTACAGCTTTGATTTTGAATAGATATGCTTTGTCATACGTGTGTCCTGTAAGTGTCTTGATGTCAGACGGGGAAAGCGAAAGCTTTCTAACCCAAGTATGATTCCTTGAGAGATTCGGTTTGGAGCGAGAGTAGCTCAGAAATTCTGAGTACCACTGATCGTAGATTTCATTTTTAATCTGCTTTAAGGCTTAAAAAGATTGATTCTATCTTTAATGCAAGAGTTGATTAGTTTGAGTAGGACGGTTATAAGTGCTGTGGGTCTGAAATTATGGTAGTCATTAAGATTGCAGTTTTTTTTGGGGATGGGGACAATTTTAATAATTCTGTCATTGAGAGAGGTTTTTAGGTTAGCAATGGTAACGTCTGGGAGAGCTGTGAGCATGTTGTAGGTGATCAAATCGTGTCCAGCGGCCTTTTTTTCCAAAGCAGATTTGACGTCGTCAAAAGAGAGCGAAAGGTTGGAATTGATTTCCACAGTTTGGTTAATCTCTAAGTAATTTTGGTGGTTTGGTACTTGACTATTTAGCGTGTCTAACAACTCCTGGTCATTATCCTGGTTCCATCCCTCATTTCTAGCTTGGACATAATCGCCTCTTAACGTCCCGACAAAACGCCATGTGCCTTTTGACATGCCACTGGTAAGTGAATCAATTTTGCTTTTGAAATCCTCCTTTTTTGCGAGCTTATTAGTGACTCGAAGTTCACAAGAAGTTGGATAGTAGGATATGCTGAGCAAGATTCTTTCCTCTGTGCGAATCCATGCCGTCGCCCCAGATCGTGGCCCTGGCATTAAAGTCGCCAAGTAGAAAAAACATTTCCCGTGTTACTCAAGGAAGTTTAAAATTCTGGTGACTTCTATATTGAAGTCATTATTGCTTATGATGGGGGGAAAGTATGATTTGCAAATGGTAATGTTGGTGGTCAGATTCGTTGTTTTTATAATTAAGACGTCATGGTCAGAATTGAAAGTAATTCTTTTGTATTTGATGTTACATTTGATGGAGATTCTTTGTGTAGTTTTAATCAGTTGGGACATGAGTCTCTCCATTTCGGAGATAATGCCTTTCTGATACGAGGGGTAATTTATTCCTGGCGTGCGAGTGCTACCTCTAGTCTTTCTAACTAATGCATTCGAGTGGGAGTTTGAAGATCTTGGTGGGGAATATTTGGTTATTTTGCTAAATTTACGCTTTGTAAAGGATCTATTTATGTTTGTATCTTTGTTCACTACAGTTGCCGTGTTATTGCTTAGGGCTGGAAAGTTTGCAACATCATTTTCTAAGACGTTAAGACTTTGGGGTAGTAGATGTCAAAGACCTTTTTTCTTGTAGATTTTTTAATCGCTTTGATGCGATTGACGGACTCCTCCTTTTCTCAGTGAGGGCATAAAGGTTTGTCTTTGGCGACATGTCCCCTCCTGCCACAGAGAATACATTCATTGGTTTTTCAAATTTCACTATTGCATTCATTTTGCACCTTATATTCGACTTGCAACCGAGCTTGGTGTGCCCCAAGCGGCTGCAGTTATTACATTGAGGAATGGGTGGGATGTAAAAGTCAACAGGTAGTCGAGTGTAGTTGCAGATAATTTCTTTGGGAATATCATTACCAGCAAAGCCGATTTTTAGTGTTGTTGTGGGAATAAACGACCCAGAAGTGGGGTCCTTGCGGGAAAAGCGATGCACAGACATAATGGGTATGGTAGATTTAGGCTCAGCAACGATTTCATTGTCATGGAAGCAAGTGGGAACACCCCTCACTCCCCCCTAAATCTCTAGAGCTGTTTTAGGTATAAAGGTTTTTAAGCCTCTTTTTTTTGATTTTATCGTCCATCAAAAAGGTGTTTGCAGCATATACATTTTTGAAAATAACTTTATATAAAGTGCAGCCCACCGTCTTTATAAAATCAATGTCCTTAAACCTGAGGTCTTTTATTTGACTGAAGAGAGTCAATCCTGTAGTGAACTTTTCGTTTTTCATATTGGGGCACTCAGATGAGTCGACCAACACACACATTTCTCCTCGAAAATTTGGCTGGTAAACAGTAGAAATAGTTTCTTTTCGTGCGCGATTATCGCGACATTCGCCGTTGGTTGAGAAAGCAGGGTCGCATTTCCCGCCCATTTGTATACTTTGACATGACACTTTACCGCCAATTTCAGCGTTATCACAAACCATGGAGTCGCTAGAATCATTAGTAAAATCACCCATTCCCTCAGTCATCCTTAAGAGGCCTCCATGCTTGGAGAGCTCATAAAAAAACCGTCACCTGTACATTATCCGTAACTTTTAGCTTTTTAGTCGCACCTGAGTCCGCATCGGTGACTCCAGTTATCACCGGCTACGGAGTCCATGCCATTTTCTTAAGTTTGCCAAGTGCCGAAGCGGTAGCTTGTGCTTTCTTTTTCTTTTTTAGTGGCACTATGAGGAGAGTGTTGACTTTGGCTTTAGTTTTCCTTTAATCGACATAACTTGAATTGTATCTACTCTATTTTATCTTTGAATTGCTGAAATATTTTTAATCGTTGGTCTGAATTGTTAACTTTTGGGTATTTTTTATCATTTCTGCTATCAGTCTTTCAAACTGCGTTACGATGTTCTTATGGTATAAAAGCGAATTTTGGTTTGCGCTACTTAGTTTTGGCTTTTGTTTTTTGTCTGTAATCCTCTTTCAAGTCCCTTTGGAAAAATTTTTGTATTTTCATTTTGTAAAATTCCTATTCACGTATTCTGTTGTGTCTAGAGATATGTTCTCTTTGCTAATAGACAGAAAGTTGTCCTCTTCTTTGGCTAGTATATCAAATCGATTTGATTTTTTCGCAAAATATATGTGTGTATTAGACTCCTTCCTTAGCAATTTTTTGACAGTCTTGATGTGAATCACCGACATTTCTTTTTCCCAGTGTGAGCAGCTGTTTGTTTTTCATTATTTTTTGTCACAATCAGTTTTGCCGCATTCTGGGCATCTTTTTTTTATTTACACCCAAATTTAGTGTGCCCTAGTCTGCCAGAATTTCGCACATTGCCTCAGGGGAGGTATGCATATGTCTAGATTACGTTTCGTGTAATCGAAAATTATTTCCTTTGATACTTCGTTGCTTGAGATACCTATTTTTTGATAGTTGAGGTGGTTTGAACGCATCAGTAGCAGGGTCTTTGCGTTTCAACTGCATAACAGAAACTATTGTGGCTGCTGATTTAGCATTTTTTAGTATTATCAGAGAATAATAAAACACGTAACTTTAAGGACTAAAGTTGAATATAAATTGAATGAAAATTGAATATTAGAATTGTTGATCAGATTGGAGGATGAACAGATCCAAGTAGAAGAAGAAATAAAAAGATGGACACGTTTTTAGTATACGAGCGTTTAATTAGGAATGATCTGATTTTCAGTATGTATAATATAATACCATGGAAATCTATTTGTACATATATCTGTTTCGTATGGAAATACATACTGTGTATTCAATAACAGGGTGATTTGAATATATGAAATATTATAGTATTCAAGTTGCTTTAACATCTATTACATTTGTTTCTCAACACTCTTTCTCAAGATGAATACTATTTGAATTATTAATTTTTAATTTTTTAATCTAAACCGAGTAGTTTGACAAACTTTAAATGTTTTTGTTTTTGTAAATTCTTTGTAAAAATATCTGATACATTTTCATTTGTATTTACATATTCTAAATTAACATCATTTCGAGCAATAACTTCTCTTATGTAATGGTACTTAACATCAATATGTTTGGTGCGCTTATGATACACCGGATTTTTTGCGATTTGTAAAGCGCTAAGGTTGTCGCCTTTTATTGTTATTGCTGCGTTGTCATGCCACCCAATTTCGTTCAACAAACGTCTCAGATAGACTGCCTCTTTTGCCGCTGTACACAAAGCAATATATTCGGCTTCTGTGCTGCTTAATGCTACTACATCTTGCTTCTTACATTGCCACGAAAATGCTGCACCCGCCAAATAAAATGAATAGCCTGTATACGACTTTCTGCTAAGTTTATCGTTAGCCCAA